AATGTATTTGTCTCTAAATCTAACATTCAGAACTGTGCACTTCTGTATATTAACATATATAGTTTTATTTAGATACTAAGTTCAGCATCATTACCTCTAGAAAGCCTTTTCTAACTTTCCAGATAAGAGTGACCATACCCTCTTGCAATCTCCCTTGTACTCTGTTTATATTTAGGTCAAAGTATCTAAAATACTTTGTTGAACTTTTTCACAAATATCTCAAATATCTCCCTCTTGAATTGAAGCTCTGAGCTCTTTTTTTTTTTTTTTTTTTTTTNTTTTTGAGATGGAGTCTTGCTCTGTTGCCCAGCCTGGAGTGCAGTGGTATGATCTCAGCCCACTACAACCTCTGCTTCTTGGGTTCAAGTGATTCTCCTGCCTCAGCCTCCCGAGCAGTTGAAATTACAGGCTTCAGCCACTATACCCAGCTAATTTTTGTATTTTTAGTAGAGACAGGGTTTCACCATGTTGGTCAGGCTGATCTTGAAGTCCTGAGCTCAAGTGATCTGCCCGCCTGGGCCTCCCAAAGTGCTGGGATTACAGATGTGAGCCACTGTGCTCGTTCAGCTTTGTGCTCTTAAATGCAGTGCTTATATTTTCTTTTTCTATATTTTGTAAATATAGCCCAATTTTCTGGCACAGAGTAGGCATTCAGTAAATGTCTTAAAGTATCATAGAATAATCACAAATCCTATTTAAAGAGGATTAAGTTATAATCTCTAATGCACATGTACCTGCTTTTTTTGTTTGTTCCCACTAGTTTTAATTTACACAATGCTTTGTTTCCTATCTTTTCTGTGCTCCTGCACTACCTGCTGAGAAGCAGCAATAGACCATATGTAGCTTTGGTATCATTTTCATGGGCAGTTTCTGGCTAATTTGGACTCTGTTTCCCCAGCCTCCTATTATGAAAACTCTGTGGGAATCCTTCTTTCCATGCACCTTCTTGACTTTGCAAAAGTGTTGTCCCACTAATGAATTGCCCCTTGTTCCAAAACTACCATGTTTCTCTTTTCCTAGTCATGTCCGTTTAATATGTTTTCTTCTTTACGTTTCAGCCCCAACCTCATCCGTTACTTTGATATCAAAACTATTTCTAAAGATCTAAGCTTATAGTCATCATACTGTCAGTATGTGTGTGTGGAAGGGTGGGGGTCTGTCCTGTACCTGCCTTCTCTAGTCCTTCCCAGGCTCTCTCTCTCTTTTTTTTTTTTTTTTTTTTGCCACTCTAGGCACTCCAAAGTGGAACAATGGGCCCATTTAGAGTATTTTTTTTTGTAGAGAGGAAAAGATGCCTCTACAAAAAGCTTGTGAAATTGATGGAATATATCTTGAACATTGATATCTCTTTCAATGCTCTTCCTCCCATCTTTAGTCACTACTTTTGAGTCTTTTCTATTCTCTACTATAAGAGTAAAGGGTCTCTTCTCTAGTGAAGAGTAGTGTTCATTCTTTTAAACAGGTAACGATTAAACATTACTTTTTACTGACAAATAAAGCGACTATATCTTGTGTCCAGTTCCTATTTGCCGTTTTTTTCATTGAGTTTATAAGAATTATTTTTGTTGTTGTTGTTTGGTTTTTTCTTTCTTTTTTTTTTAAAGACGGGGGTCTCACTGTCACCCAGGCTGGTGCAATTACAGCTCACTACAGCCCCAAACTCCTCAGTTCAAATGATCTTCTCACCTCAGCCTCCTATGTACCTGGAACTACAGATGTGCACCACCACACCTGCCTAAATTTTGTATTTATTGTTATTACTTTTTTTTAGTAGAGACAGAGTTTTACCATGTTGGCCAAGGTGGTCTCCATCTCCTGTCGTGATCCACCTGCCTCGGCCTCCCAAAGTGCTGGGATTACNTTTGTAGAGATAGGGTCTTGCTATGTTACCCAGACTGGTCTGAACCTCCTGGTCTCAAGCAGTCTTCCAAAAGTGCTGGGATTACAGATGTGAGCCACTATATCCAGCCAATAATTATTGTTTTTAATTATGACAACACTTACCTAAAGTATAACTGGTTTATATTATCAGCTTTTCTCCTAAAATTGTGGTATAGTGTGTATTTATGTAACACCGGAAAAAACAAGGGTGATGGGAGGTACTTGAGAGTTCTGCCAATAAAAACTTCACCTCTTGCTAGATTCATGTAAGAGTCATATTAAACCATTAACCATAACTTGTTTTGAAACAATTTGGAAAAGTAGAGAGCAGAAAAAGATAATCCCACTAACAAAGGATATTTTTAAAATATCTGTCTATCATCTATCAATCAATAGCTTGACTCCTGCTTAGCTTAATGGTAATAACCTATAAGCATCCAAGAACATGTAACTAATGCCAAGGATTTCTTTTTTTTTGGGAAGGCTGAGAAACCACAGGGATAGAAACAGTAATACTCAAGTCTTCCAAGTGTTTATTACAATTAAGAGTTGGAGGATTGGAAAATAATTTCAAGGGTCTCTTCCATTAACCTGCAGGTGGACAGAAAAACCATCCTGTACTTGGTAAAGTGAAAGATAATTTTCACCTCATATTTAGGAAGGAATTTTAAATAACCTTGGGATATCTATCAAGATTCACTAGCACTATTTCTGAAAACTTGTTTGTTTTATTAAGTATTAAGGTTTCATTACCTGGTAATTTCTTATGAATCTAATAACCTAAAAGCAAAGTTCAAGAAATAATCATCTTTCCCCCTTTATTGCATTTCTTAAATAGCACACTATGTAAACTGTTGATTTCTTGGGATTAGAAGCATGAGTTGTCATAATATGTTCTCAAGAGCTGTTTGAGGAAAGATTTTTCTTTTATTTTGATGGAGAAATAGACACAAAAACTCACTTAAAATTAATGCAAAAAATAAATTTCTGAGATGGCATCGCCATGTCTCCATTTCAGTAATAACAATAACTAAGTCCCATGTAAAGGCCATTACTGATTTCAATTTATAACGAAATGATTTGTGTAAAAATGCTGAAATTGGTATCATATCTTTCATGCTAATATCATTTGAATCTTTGCTTTAAAATCATGCTAATTATCTGGAACTTTCTGTAAGGTAAAGATAAATGTAACATGATTGCCATTGCTTTTTTCTTCTTCAAGAGAAATCCAAACATTTAAAAGGTCGTGAGTTGTAAGTGATGCAACAGAACCAATTTTCGAATCCTCTTACTGGATAAAAAGGAGGATCTTCTGTAATCTACAGTTTCAGACACATGTGCATATCATGAAGGGAGTGTTTACCATTTCCATTAGCCATCATCTTAGAAAGTAAGATTGGAAAAGCGGAGTTAGAACTGAGAATGCTGTCTCATCGGAGGTTGTTAGGGGGCACTCACATGCTCTGTTTTGCCCGTGGAGGCTGCTGGTAGAAATGATGATTTCTGCAGGGGAAGGGATGTTGGTGCTGGCCTACTGTAAATTAAGCCCTTCTTTTACCCTCTTGCCTCTTAATTTGGTGACTGTGAGATTACCAGTCACATGTAGTCACTGATGACTGCAAGTTAAGGTTCCCTATAAATAGCTGTATCTTTAGAATCGTGGCCCATTTATGTCTTGGGTGCAGTTTGCTTGGAGTACAAAATAACTTGGTGATTTTGTGATTTCTTCTTCTTCTTTTTTTTGGGGGGGATTCCATGCTTTACTTTAGACTGGATTATAGTTTTTGTGAGTTTTTTTTTTTTAAGCACTTTTATTTGATTATTTTTAAAGATGTGATATTTAACGTGTTAAAAATATAGATATAGGTAATTATCTTATAGAAAATGTATATTTTTTAGGATATCACCACTATTCCTTCTATGTTAATGAATCATGCTCTTTAGCATTGATGAAAGTTTCAATTTTGAGAATAGTAGACCTTGTCAGGTGTTATTTTGAGTGCCAGAGAATGGTTGATTTGAAGCAAGAAGAACAAAGTTTAAGAAAGAAAATACATCTAGCATTTGCTTAATAATTTGCCCTTTGCAGCACCAGAATCTTATGTGACCACCCACATTCATCTGGTTACTGACGTGGTTCTTGCTTCAATTGCAGGAGCTATTTTTGCACCTTTTGTATCTTTTGAGGAACCGAGTGGGCCTACTTGCTTATAATGATTCATGTCTCAAGTGCACAGGGTGTCCTGAAGTGCTACTGCAGTGATGTGCAGAAAGGAGGGGGGATTAAAGCAGACTACTTCCTTTAAGCACTTTGAATGCTCACATGAAGTGGTACTGCAAGGAAAACACATTTTAGCTGTCATGTTTTAATGCTTTAGTCCTTCCAGTGAGAGTTTTGTAATAACTTGTCAAGAAGAAAGAGCATTTTTTAAAAATGACAAACAATTGTGGGTAGCATATAATATTTTTTATGTAAGTCCTTTATACTGGGAGATAAACTCTGTTAAGGTCGTTGATTAATCTATTTGGATTAGGTAGTTTAATTTTCCATGCATTTCTTTGGATCGTACTTAGATAAATATTAATTCTATGTATGAAAAGTTCCTTTCTTCATTACTTAATAAACTTTGTAAAGGCTTAATTTGCTTTGGTTTGTTTTGGATTCCTATTTCAGAATTTAATTTTAGCAGAAAATATAACATTGCTGAAATACACTAGAGAAACATTTATAACGAGGTTATCTGAGACTTCATCCTGTGAAGTTTAGTTGCTGATACGCCAAAAGAAGTTCTGTGGACATCTCAGCTTTATGGCAGAACTGTGTCATGGATTGCAATGACACAATTTCTAGTTCTGATACGTGAAGTTTTAACTCTAGCATTTCACTGTTATAGGGAATTAATTCCCTTTAAATACAAGTATTTATTCAACATATTTAAACTATGTTAAAAGAAAGGAAATTCTTTCTTGGGGGATAAAAAGGGCTTCTTGAGAGATCCAGTTCCAAATTTTCTTTCTTAAAGGAAGGCAGATTCTGTGAGTGAAGAAGAATGAGCATGCTTATTAAATTCATTACAGGTGTCATCATCTTTTAAATCTTCATATTAATCTTTTAGGTTCCCAGAAGTTGTGCATGAGTTCCTGTGGGGAGAGTTGGCATCTTGGAAATCAAAGACCGTTGTGATGCAGTTTTTTGATATGAAGATAACAGGTTAATAACTAAAATTTATTTATTTTTGTTCTCTTGTTACATTAAACTTGAAAAGCTGTTTTCGCCTATCATGAACTCATATATAAACTGATTTTCTCATCAAATCAGTGAGGAAACAATATATTTTCCACTTAGTGTGAAACCTGTGTTTTGTTCTATTTTGTTTTTCATAGTAGACCAGTCTTACTTATAATTAATTATCGTTGTTATAATTAAAATATCTTTCTTCGACAAAATTTATTTCTACAAAGTTTATTTTCATGTGGAACTCTACTTAGTTAATCCTAATAACTTTTGCTGTATCATGAGAAAACATCTCAATAGAAAAGTGAAATTGCAGTTTTAAAAATTATTTTAAGATATGACAAAATATTAAAAGCAGCATGCTGCAGTCAAAATAAGTCATAACTATCTTGACTAAATCGGCAAACTCTACAAATATATGATGCCTGCATTACAGCCCATGTGGAAAAATATGGTTGTTTCTCATTAGGCTCCAAATATCAAATTAGATATTAATTACATCAAATTAGAGGATAATCATCACAATCTTTTTACTTTTCTCTGCAAGTTTTCTGAATTGCTTGGCAGGATTGTGTATAATATGGTTTTCTCCGCATGGTGGCAACTTGCCCATTTTAGAGAGAACTGTGGTTGTTATGGGAATTTTTACTAAAAGAAGTGTTTATAATAAATTTGGCTCTAGGGAAGGCACCTTTTTAAAAGTCATCCTGTGGAAATAAGTCTTTATTCAGCAGGACTCTGGCACTGGTCACACTTTCTTGGTAGTTCTTTTTTCCCTCATCCAGTGCTCTCTGAGCATGTAATGCTCTGAGCAGTGGTTGGGCAGTGAGTATCTATGTAACTCTTGGGATCAGTGTTACAGCTACGATGCCCTGGGATGTTCATGTCATTTTTAAAGATTTTACAATTGATCTGTGGCATTTTAGTAACAAATACAATGATGTCCCTTCTAAAATGTCATTCACTAATGATTATCAAAAAGACCTATATTTTGTTTACAAGTGTCATATCACCAAATCCTCAAGAAAAGACCAAACGACCACTTTAATGTTTAAAAATGTTATATTATTAAAATGTTGGAAGTGGAGAAGCCAGTCATTTTTGCGGCCATTTTATACCTTCATTATTTAGGAGGTCATGATTTAATGCTCACTTGACTTTTGCCACCACTCAAGTAATGATTAATTTCCTGAGGTAAAGTTTTCTCTGAGATAGTGTTTTTCTAAGCAAAAGATCCCAGACTGACAAGCCTGGGTACTGTAGGCCTTTATTCCTCTGCAGAGCAAGCCTGTTTTCCTGCCAATCCCACCCCACCGTTATCCTGAAGAGACCTCTGAGTAGGTCCATCCCCGAGGATGTTTCTCTGCTTTTCCTTTGGGAGCCTGTCTGGGAAATTATTTAACTGGGTGCCAAACTTATTTGAGTGGGACTCTAAAGAGTGGCCATAGGACAGGGCACACTTCTAGAAAAATGCCAGCTCTTCCCTGTAATACCATTTTCTTTCGCTTCAGTTCCTTTAGTTCCATTACCACTGAAATAGCCATGTAGAGGTAATATCTTTTTTAACATGACCCCTGTCTGAAAAGTGTGATAAGCCTGACAGACAATGCCTGTCTTTACTGTCTGGAGGACTCCTCTGGGCTGTAGCAGCATCCACAGGAAACCCAAAGTCATTTCCCCTGAGTTTTATTCTCCAGTAAATTATCTTACTCCTTTCATAGCATTCAAAAACCACTAGAGAAAATTTTAACTGTGAATGCAGAACTGTATTTGGAATACTGCTCCTTTGTTGGCAGTGGGTGCCAAAAATGACTTTGCGTGGGTTTGGTTACCATAAAAGGAAATCTCAGTGAATAAAGTGATAACTTGCTGTTTTCTTATGAGAATTACTCTCATAGTGCATTTTTTGATGTATCAATTGATTAGGAAACCTGGTGTATATTTTTAATGGACTATTAGAGAATCTGAAAAATGAATTGACTCTACACGGTCATAGAGAAATACTGTAACTGTAATTAACCATATTACTATAGATCTTTATAGCTCTAAGTAGATCTCTGTTGAAGAAATTAAAATTGCAGGTGGATACAATGGTACATTTAATGATTTTTAATAATATTATGAAGTCCAAAGACAGTATTTTCCTAGATTTAATGATCCACTTAATAATATAGATTTCCTTCTCTGATATACTTCTTAAAATGTTTTCTTATACATAAGCATTTTTATACATTTTAGTAACAAAATGCAAGCTCAAGAATTTATGCCACTTGGAAGAGTTAGGTTACTTAGTAAAAGCGCCACCTAACAAAACAAGACAGATGCCATTATCTAATCTTGAATTAAACTTTGAAAACCCTATTGTTTTTAAAGTGAATTTCTTTTCCTCATTATAACTTGAATGGAGTGGCAAAGAAATTTTTGAACCCTCCCAAATCCTGCTTGTTTTTAAAGAGAAAGTCATTCCATGCTCAGTAATAGATTATGAGGCACACAATTTCCATTGCAGAATCTTTATCATTTCCAGGATAAAGCAGCTGTAGAAAACTAATACAAATAGTCTCTATTTTTAATGGTTCATAAATATGATCAATAAATTCCAAAAAGAATCCATCACTCACTTTCTCTCTCACCTACCTTTCTCTATATGTCTCAGAAACTCCAAGAAGAGATGCAGTTTTATGGATAGCAGTTAGTCAAAGGCTTCCCAAGGAGGGTTGGAGAGAAAAAGACATCCTCAAACATGTTTCAAATCAAACGTGAAAGGTTGACGTGAAATAAGCATGATTTCTAGTTCCCTGGTAAGCCTTTCACTGAAGTGAAAAACGAGACATTTGGGTCAGAGAAGGGGTCCCTGTAGTGCTGGGACCTCCGGCTCAGGCACAAAGATGGAATCTCTTCCTGCCCAACCCAGGAGAGAAAGCATGGCGTGGGATATCATCTCGCTTCCTGGTAAAATGGTGAAGCATCTTGGGTAGGCTTGTCTTAGAAATTTAAAAGGAAGATATTTTCTTGACAGAAGCTATTTACATAAATGAATTAATGTTTTGAATCTTAAAAACTTTCTGGATAATAAATGCTGTTGGAATATGGAATGATCCTATGTTAAACTTAGAAAAATTGATTTTTTAAAATAAAATGATAGATAAGACTTTTTTCTGATTATCCTCCCTCTCCTAAAAATTAAAAATTAACTTAATGGTCTAAACAATTAGCTTAATGGTCTACATATGTTTTGTTCTGACCACGAGATACCTGCTTTTGAATTTTATATAAGTCACTTTTCTTTACCTTCTGATATATTCTCTGGTAGCAGAATATTATTTCTGATTTTTATTCGATGTACCTACTATGTGATATGTCCTTAGTGTATAAGAGTGGTTTTATTATTTTAAACCATAAAAATGAAATATATCTGATTTATAAAGGTATTACCTTTATAAATTTTGAAAACATTGTATTTTATTTAATAGCTAATTGAAAACATTATGTTTTATTTAATAAATTATCAAATAAATTATTCCAGTCTTGTTTTTTATAACATGTATGTACTTATCACTGGAGGTTTATGGTGTTTTTTGTTTTGTTCATTTGTTTGTTTTGAGATAGAGTCTCACTCTGTTCCCCAGGCTTGAGTGCTGCAATCATAGCTCACTGCAGCCTCGACCTGCTGGCTCAGGTGATTCTCCCACCTCAGCTTCCTGAGTACCTGGGACTACAGGTACCTGCCACCACACCCAGCTAATTTTTGTATTTTTTGTAGAGACGGGGTTTTGCCATGTTGCCCAGGCTGGCCTCAAACTCCTAAGCTCAAGCGACTCACCTGCCTTGGCCTCCCAAAGTGCTGGTATTGCAGGCATGAGCCACGATGCCCAGCCCCTGAAGTTTATGTTTTGAGCAAAATTATATATTTGATGTCAAGTAAAAGATGGAAAATGATACATACCTAATTTTCACTTGTAAGATTCTTATTTTCCTTAAAACTAATGATTTTCAAGCTAGGCACAGTGGCTTGGGAGCTATTTGGAGGTGAGGTGGGCAGATCACGAGGTCAAAAGATTGAAACCATCCTGGCCAACATGGTGAAACCCCTTCTCTACTAAAAAATACAAAAAAAAAAAAAAAATTAGCTGGGCATGGTGATGCGCACCTGTAGTTCCAGCTACTTGGGAGGCTGAGGTAGGATAACTGCTTGGACCCGGGAGGTGGAGGCTGCAATGAGCCGAGATCATGCCACTGCACTCCAGCCTGGCACCTGGTGACAGAACAAGACTCTGTCTCAAAAATAAAACACTATTCTCAGCCAGGCAAGGTGAAGTGGCTCACACCTGTAACCCTAACACTGGGAGGCCAAGGTGGGCGGATTGCTTGAGCCCAGGAGTTTGAGACCAGTGTGGGCAATATGGAAAGACTTTATCTCTACAAAAACTACGAAAATTAGATGAGTGTGGTAGTACACACCTTTAGTCCCAGTTACTTGGGAAGCTTAGGTGGGTAGAATTGCCTGAGCTCAGGGAGGTCAAGGCTGCAGTGAGCAATGATTGCATCACTGCACTCCAGCCTGGGCATGAGTGAGACTCTGTCTCAAAAAACCAAAGCAAAAAAAACCCCCACTATTCTCAACTTTTTAGTATCTAGGAAATTAGAACTAGGCTGATTACATTTTTAAAAACTAAGAAGTTTTATATATAATAATCTTATATCTCAGAAAATATCACTATGATGTTTTTACAATATTTTTTCTGAGGTATATTTGAGTCACAGTGTCAATATAGGGTTTACTATTCTGGTGTAATTCTGAAGCAGTTTCTTACTTTCATTCTAGGGTACATAGCATTGTGGACCCTTTATATAATGAACTGGAAATTGGAATTTGTATTTGTATATATCAATGCTATGGTTTAATGCAACAATTTTTCCTAACTGCATTTATTTTGTATCCAGGAAGCGTCAGGACAATCATGCCCATGAGAACTCTAAACTGTTCAGGTAATCATGTCATTTTTAAACTGTCCGTTTAAACTGTCCTAAAAATATGCTTTGTTTTCTATATTATGAAGACTTTATAACTGTTTTGTTTAGATTAACCCTTTTATCTTTTCCAGAGTTCTGTGACATCTGATTCTTATAGCTTTGATGTCATTTTACTCATCACTGATTTTAAGCTGTAAAATATAGATAAATCTTATAGTAATATATAAAATATGAATTAGTTATTATGTATTTTATAAAACATGCATTGTATATATGTATGCTTATATGTATACTGTTATATTTATATTTTATATTAATATATAACATATTTTTATATTAAGCTATGAAACATATTTCTATATGGAGATATGTAATACACTTTGGCATGCAATATCCACCGCATCATCCGAGTCCTTACTCATGCCAACACTCACTCTCTTTCCCTCAACACTCATTGCCACAGGGGGTCATGCACAGCACCAAGCCACATCAGAGCCTCGAAGGTCCTCCGTGGCTTTTCCCTGGCCCTTTGCCATCCGTTGCCTCCAAGGACTTATTTCCTTTTCCTATACATGGTCACAGTGGTGGTTATCCTAGAAAAAAGATTTCAAGTCTGAACCCTGCTTATAGCCAATACTCCCAGAAAAGTATCAAACAGGCAGAAGAGGCTCACAAGAAAGAGCACAAACCCAAAAAGCCTGGCAAGTACATTTGCCCTTACTGCAGCAGAGCGTGTGCCAAACCTAGTGTACTGAAAAAACACATCAGGTCCCATACTGGGGAGCGGCCATATCCATGTATACCTTGTGGTTTCTCTTTCAAGACAAAGAGCAATTTGTACAAGCACAGGAAGTCACATGCCCATGCAATTAAGGCAGGATTAGTACCTTTCACAGAGTCAGCTGTATCTAAATTGGACCTAGAGGCTGGTTTTATTGATGTAGAAGCAGAAATACATTCAGATGGTGAACAGAGTACAGACACAGATGAGGAGAGTTCTTTATTTGCCGAGGCCTCTGACAAAATGAGTCCTGGTCCACCCATCCCACTGGACATTGCCAGCAGAGGTGGCTATCATGGGTCATTGGAGGAATCATTGGGAGGTCCAATGAAGGTGCCGATTTTGATTATCCCCAAAAGTGGGATTCCTCTTCCTAACGAAAGCTCTCCGTATATTGGCCCTGATATGCTACCAAATCCATCTTTAAATACTAAGGCTGATGATTCGCACACAGTCAAACAGAAACTTGCACTAAGACTGTCGGAGAAAAAAGGACAAGACTCTGAGCCATCGCTCAACCTCCTGAGCCCGCACAGTAAAGGAAGCACTGATTCTGGTTACTTTTCTCGCTCAGAAAGCGCTGAGCAGCAAATAAGCCCTCCCAACACAAATGCAAAGTCTTATGAAGAAATCATCTTTGGAAAATACTGTCGGCTCAGTCCGAGAAATGCACTCAGTGTTACAACCACAAGTCAGGAGCGTGCCGCAATGGGTAGGAAGGGCATAATGGAACCATTACCTCACGTAAACACCAGGCTAGATGTCAAGATGTTTGAAGATCCTGTTTCACAGCTGATCCCAAGCAAGGGAGACGTCGACCCCAGTCAAACGAGCATGCTGAAATCCACTAAATTCAACAGTGAGTCCCGACAGCCCCAGATTATTCCACCCATCAGGAATGAAGGAAAACTTTATCCAGCAAACTTTCAGGGCAGCAGCCCGGTTCTCTTAGAAGCTCCTGTAGACTCTTCACCCCTTATTAGAAGCAACTCAATGCCAACTTCTTCAGCAACTAATTTAACTATTCCCCCTTCTTTGAGAGGAAGTCACTCATTTGATGAAAGGATGACTGGTTCCGACGATGTATTCTATCCAGGGACTGTGGGCATACCCCCGCAGCGCATGCTAAGAAGACAAGCGGCATTTGAGCTGCCTTCAGTACAGGAGGGCCATGGGGAGGTGGAGCACCACGGCAGGATGTTGAAAGGTATCAGCAGTTCATCCCTGAAGGAAAAGAAATTATCTTCTGGGGACAGGATTGGGTATGACTATGACATCTGTCGGAAACCCTATAAGAAGTGGGACGACTCTGAAACACCAAAGCAAAGCTACAGGGACATTTCCTGCTTGAGTTCTTTAAAACATGGTGGAGAATATTTTATGGATCCTGCGGTGCCATTGCAGGGAGTACCAAGCATGTTTGGAACTACCTGTGAAAACAGGAAACGCCGGAAAGAGAAGAGCGTAGGGGACGAAGAGGACACCCCCATGATCTGCAGCAGCGTCGTAAGCACTCCTGTGGGCATCATGGCTTCTGATTATGACCCCAAACTGCAGATGCAGGAAGGAGTCAGGAGTGGATTTGCCATGGCTGGACATGAAAACCCTTCTTATGGTCACACTGAACGCTTTGACCCGTGTCGACCCCAACTGCAGTCTGGAAGTCCATCTCTTGGGTCAGAGGAGTCACCATCAGCCATTGATTCAGACAAGATGTCAGACATAGGGGGCAGGAAACCTCCTGGAAATGTGATTTCTGTGATTCAGCACACCAACTCGCTGAGCCGACCCAATTCATTCGAAAGATCTGAGTCAGCTGAACTTGTGGCCTGCACACAGGATAAAGCCCCTTCCCCTTCGGAGACGTGCGACAGTGAGATTTCAGAAGCCCCAGTGAGTCCTGAGTGGGCTCCACCCGGGGATGGTGCAGAAAGTGGGGGGAAACCCTCTCCATCTCAGCAGGTGCAGCAGCAGTCCTATCACACACAGCCCAGGCTAGTTCGGCAACACAACATCCAGGTTCCCGAGATTCGAGTGACTGAGGAGCCTGATAAACCCGAGAAGGAGAAAGAAGCCCAGAGCAAAGAGCCAGAGAAGCCTGTGGAAGAATTTCAGTGGCCCCAAAGAAGCGAGACCCTTTCCCAACTCCCTGCCGAGAAGTTGCCACCCAAAAAGAAGCGTCTTCGACTTGCAGATATGGAGCACTCCTCAGGGGAGTCCAGCTTTGAATCCACAGGCACAGGCCTCTCCCGCAGCCCCAGCCAAGAAAGCAACTTGTCCCACAGCTCCAGTTTCTCCATGTCTTTTGAAAGAGAAGAAACCAGTAAGCTTTCTGCACTTCCTAAGCAGGATGAGTTTGGGAAGCATTCAGAATTTCTGACCGTCCCTGCTGGTTCATACTCGTTGTCTGTCCCAGGCCATCACCACCAGAAAGAGATGCGACGCTGCTCATCAGAGCAGATGCCTTGTCCTCACCCAGCGGAAGTCCCAGAAGTTCGGAGCAAATCATTTGACTATGGGAATCTGTCCCATGCTCCTGTGTCGGGAGCAGCAGCCTCCACAGTATCACCGTCCAGGGAGAGGAAGAAATGCTTTCTGGTGCGGCAAGCTTCCTTCAGCGGCTCCCCAGAAATCGCCCAGGGTGAGGCTGGCATGGATCAGAGCGTGAAGCAGGAGCAGCTAGAGCATCTGCATGCTGGCCTCCGGTCCGGGTGGCACCATGGCCCACCCACCGTGCTGCCTCCTCTTCAGCAAGAGGACCCAGGGAAGCAGGTGGTAAGTCCTTGTGCCCCACTGAGCTCGGGGCCACTGCACCTGGCCCAGCCACAGATCATGCACATGGACAGTCAGGAATCTTTGAGAAATCCCTTGATCCAACCAACATCCTATATGACAAGCAAGCACTTACCTGAACAGCCACACTTATTTCCACATCAAGAGACAATTCCCTTTTCTCCAATCCAGAATGCCTTGTTTCAGTTTCAATATCCTACAGTCTGTATGGTTCATTTACCAGCTCAGCAGCCTCCCTGGTGGCAGGCGCATTTTCCACATCCCTTTGCTCAGCAGCCTCAGAAGAGCTATGGCAAACCCTCTTTTCAGACAGAAATCCATTCAAGCTATCCCTTAGAACATGTGGCGGAGCACACTGGAAAGAAACCTGCTGACTACGGACACACGAAGGAGCCGACCTACCCCTGTTATTCAGGAGCATCAGGGCTACACCCAAAGAACCTTCTTCCAAAGTTTCCATCAGACCAGAGCAGCAAGTCCACTGAAACGCCCTCTGAGCAGGTTCTTCAAGAAGATTTTGCCTCAGCAAATGCTGGGCCTCTGCAGTCCCTCCCGGGAACAGTGGTTCCTGTTCGGATCCAGACACACGTACCATCCTATGGAAGTGTGATGTACACAAGCATTTCTCAGATACTTGGGCAGAATAGCCCTGCCATTGTCATATGCAAAGTCGATGAGAATATGACCCAAAGGACACTGGTCACCAACGCAGCCATGCAAGGGATAGGATTCAACATTGCCCAGGTGCTGGGGCAGCATGCAGGCTTGGAAAAGTACCCCATTTGGAAAGCACCTCAGACTCTACCCCTTGGCTTAGAATCCTCAATCCCTTTGTGTTTGCCTTCCACCTCCGACAGCGTGGCCAGCCTGGGAGGTAGCAAGCGAATGCTTTCTCCAGCCAGTAGCTTGGAGCTCTTCATGGAAACCAAGCAGCAGAAAAGGGTCAAAGAAGAAAAGATGTATGGACAGATTGTGGAGGAGCTTAGTGCCGTGGAGCTGACCAACTCAGACATCAAAAAGGACCTCTCCCGCCCCCAGAAACCCCAACTGGTTCGACAAGGGTGTGCTTCTGAGCCAAAAGATGGCTTGCAGTCAGGGTCATCTTCCTTCTCCTCTCTGTCACCCTCCTCATCTCAAGACTATCCTTCTGCTAGCCCGTCCTCCAGGGAGCCATTCCCGCCCAGCAAGGAGATGCTTTCCCGGGCATCACTTCCAGGGCAGAAGTCCAGTGGGCCTTCTGAAAGCAAAGAGTCTTCCGATGAATTAGATATTGATGAGACTGCATCGGACATGAGCATGAGCCCACAGAGTTCCTCATTACCAGCAGGAGATGGTCAGCCAGAAGAGGAAGGGAAGGGCCACAAGCGGCCTGTTGGCATGCTGGTCCGCATGGCCTCTGCCCCCAGCGGGAATGTGGCAGACTCGACTCTTCTTCTCACGGACATGGCAGATTTCCAGCAGATTCTTCAGTTCCCCAGTCTGCGGACAACAACTACAGTGAGTTGGTGCTTCTTGAATTATACAAAACCCAATTATGTGCAACAGGCCACCTTCAAATCCTCCGTTTATGCTTCATGGTGCATTAGTTCCTGTAACCCAAACCCATCAGGATTGAACACCAAGACCACTCTGGCTCTTCTGAGGTCCAAGCAAAAAATCACTGCGGAAATTTATACCCTGGCTGCTATGCATAGGCCTGGAACTGGCAAGCTTACGTCGTCAAGTGCTTGGAAGCAGTTTACTCAGGTAACAAACACTGTTTTAGGAAGAACTCTGTATTGTGGATTTGATTGCTGAGCAGACTGCATAGTGAAGGATATAAGGCTTAAAAAAAAATACAAGTAAAATGAAAGTCAGTGTGGGGGCATCCTTCTCAGAAAGTCTGGCCTTACCCAGGAGTGGAAGAAGCCACTGACTGCACTTGGTTCTCAGGTCTCAGGCATGGTCTAGATACTGACAGTGTCACTTTCAGTATTTTCAGAAGGAAAAGCCTACACTTAATGTTTTTAAAATTTAAAAATGTGAGTGCCATGAAAGCCTCCACTGGGATCAATTCCCATGGGTTATTTTCCTTCTGACCTTTGTGAGTTACCTAGCAGGTTTAATTTTCTTTGGTTGAGAAGAATTCAGGGAATTGTGAAGTGGGCCACAGAGCAGAGAGAGGAGGCTGAAAGGAAAGATGAGGAAGGAGGACTGAGCTTTGCAAATGCCGCAGGGTGTATTCTCATCGACAAGACTTTTCACTAGAGTTCGTTTTTATGTATCTATCTCCTTCAAAAGTTATTTTTCCAAGTTGCTAGCTGGTTTATTCCTACCAGAAAAATCAATGTCTTCCAGGTAAAATTAAAAAAATATTAAGGGGCACTTTGGAATTTATGTCAAATTAATAAGGAGGCAAATAGAGGATTTAAAAATACATTTTCACTTATATCAGTTATTATTTTCCCTTCGATAATTTTTGAGACTACTTCCCTAATTAGTATAGATTGTTTTCATTGCTACTTCAGAACATAGAATATGTCTTTTAAGTCTCTGATAGCATTGCACAGAGTGAGTGCTGAGTGTTTATGTACATATATATTTATATATAAAATATATATCTATTTATATATATATATATATATATATATATATATA